GGATTAACTATATTAATAAACTTGATTTCCTTAAAGCATATCCCTTTGCTTAAATTAAGACATTTAAATCGGAGACTATTAAAAATAGCTTGACAGCTATTGGTTTAAACCTTTTTATCCTAATTGGGTTCTATCAAAGCTCAATATTTGTCTTTATACACCAATACCTCTACCAAGCCAGGATAGTGATTCAAGCCAGAACTTCACACCAAAAACCCCTTTTACCGAAAAACAACTACATCGGCAAGCTTCATTAATTAAAGGTTTACTTCATAAAGGATCTCGAAGTCCCCCAAGCCCATCAGATCGCGCAATAAATCAACTTATCAAAGGCTGCCATCTCGCGTTACAAGACGCTGCAATCTTAAAAAAGGAGAACAGCGAATTACGCGCCGCCAACGAAAAACAAAAGCAAAAACAGACTCGATCAACTAGGCAGATTGCTCACGAAGGAGATCTCTCAGTTCAAGAGGTTCGTAAGCTACGTTCAGAGCCATTTAAGGCCCAAGTAGCCTGTATCAATACCTATCGTGAGCAGGTTTCGGAGGGTTTACAGCCACATACATAGGGCCAGCGAGGATATGGAATATGTAGATGTCCAGGGCATAGAAGGGAGATATGTCCAGATAGACCTAATTAGTTTATTGAATTAATCTTATCATATTTTGGTTAAGAAAAATACATTTAAAATTTATAACTTTGGTTGGGTGCGCCACTCGCTTACCAAATACGTTAGGGTAATATAACTATATAGAGGTCCCTACTATAGAGGAATTCTAAGTCGCAGCTAAGGGATTATCTACAACTTGCTCCCGTTTCCCTATAAGTCGGTGGTGACTCGCTGGATCTTCACTAGGCGTTTGTTTCTTGTTGAGTTTGGATAATGATTGGTATAATGTCTATATTCCTTATACTTAAAGTATTAAATATCAGAGTGGCTATAGGTTTTCTTAGAGTAGTAAGAGGGACTCTAAACCCTTACTAATAGGGGTATGGTTTAGATTATCATATTAGTAATAAGTGTCAAGGAAGACAAAGGAAACACTATATTGAGGACCATGCAGATCTATTGCCGTATTGGCTATGGGATTCGGCACCAAGTCCGGCTGCACATAGAGGGGGATTCCTCTAGGGCCCGACTTACACTCCTCAAGTGTTAGTCGCTGTATCAAAGTAAACCAACTCCTCGTGCTCTCTCCTTAGTATATCTCGCCTAGCCCACAGGTGTCACCCTAATCTGACCAGTTCATTACAATAAGAGTTAGAAGAATAACCACCTTGATCTCTTCTATTCCCTTATAAGGAATTTCCTCGATCTTAACCTCTTCCTCTGCGACTGGGAAAGCAGGGGGTTAAATTAGGGTTATGGTCATTTCCTTGGTTATTTACCTAGGAGTAGGTATACTTTCGGTCCTTATACTTACTATCTCTTATAATCGACCAGTAATAATTTACCAGGGTAACCATCTCTTCTCTAGTCCTAGATAAATTAGGATAATATGATTAGATTTTTTCCTATAAGGATAGTAGAAGACAAGAGAAATAGTCTAGGGTACTAGTAGGGCCTGGTTTTAGTAGTAAATAGGCTTTGATAGTAGATATAAAGGAATAGAATAAAGCTAGGGTATCTTACTCACACTACCATATATTTATAAGATATTTAGCCATATCGGATTCAGCCATAGCGGAATTTTAGATCAGGGTTATGGTCTATTTCTCAAAGCGATCCTAGTTGATTTAGACAATAGTCATCTCGAACTTGTTGAGGCTTTCTAGGTAGCTGAACCAGAGCTGGCGAGGTTATTCACTTAGGTGCTAGGTAGCCTGGCTAACCCATCTTTCTTTAGGGTATTCTTCCGGAAAAGTTTGGAAGAAATTCTTGAGGTTCCGCAGCCAGTAGGTGCAGGCCTCTAGGCTAGGATTCAGTTTCAACTCAGGGATTGTTTCGATCTTGGCCGCGCGAGTTTTGGACGAATTCCCTTCACGGGACGGGGTCCACTAGCCATTCCATGGCTAGCAAACTCGGCCGTTTGGGTGTCAAGTGGGCCGAATTGGAGTGGACACCACAGGGGCGATCGACGAAACTCTGGTAGACCCATGGTCTAGCAGAGGAGATAATTCTCGGATGGGGACATAGTGGCTCATCCGAGGAGCTTGTGCAGCTTCGATAGCTTCAAGTTGGGCGATTCGAAGCCGAGTCACGCGCTCAGTTTCTCGGAGATGAATCAGTTCCGATCGACGAGCATGTTCTGCCCCGGTCGGCCCTGCAGGAGTGGCATTCGACCTGGAGACAATGGGGTTCTCGGATAAATCTAAATATTCTGATTATATATTATTTTATTCTGCTATTTAATATATAGCTAAATAATAGTTTAAACTTTAAACTAATTCTTAATGATATTTAAATGACTTTAATTAATAGAAACTATATAAATAACATATTAATATATTAATAGATATTACATAGTAGGTCAAAAGTCTGGGTACACCTCATATATAAGGATTCGGCCGAAAAAATCAACTCCTACAGAAAAGAAATTCTTAAAATTCCAATTTTTAATATTTTTATTTGAGACTTGGTAATAGTACAGATCAATAGATAAACTTCTGATTCTTCCACTAATATTTAGTGTAATATCCCCGAACGTTATAGACAGCCTTACAGCGCTTAGTGAACGACCTGATCAGGCTATCAATGGTTTCTTGAGAAATATTCCACCACGCATGTCTCAATAAATCATGAAATTCAGTCCAGGCCACTAAGGAGCGGCCTGTGTGTCGTAAATCAGGGCGCAGTTTAAAAACCTTGCGTTTAAGAAGGAACCAGCAGGGCTTGATTGGGCTAAGATCAGGGCTATGCGCAGGCCATTCCATAACATGAATTCCATGATCCATAAAAAAGTCTTGGGTGGTCTCCGCAGTGTGAGGCTTTGCATTATCTTGCTGAAATATCATCTCTGGTGTATAATGATGTAAAAGGGCCTCTTCGAGAGCCCATTGGGAGGATCTAGCCGAGTATCCACCACGAGGAGCTTCAGAATCGCGTTTCATAATGACTAGGTCTGTACGACCACCAATCCAAATGCCAGCCCAAACCATTTGCGCAATATCTCGGCCATGATTAGTAAGATTTACCAAGTCACGTCAATAGGCCTCTGATGTAAGTCGAAATACCCATTGAATTGTTGAATTTGACCGTCTTTGAACTGAGCATTTATCGCTGAATACTAAGCGTTCTAATTCATTAAAATGACGCTATTAACGTGTAAATTCACGTCTCTCAATAACATCTTCCTTCTTTAAAGGGATTCGACGGCGAGATTTCCATTTATGGATCTTATAGCGACGTAAACATCGATAAACAGTTGACCGTGAGATGCGTAGACTGGTCTCTGCAATCAGGGCTGCCCAGCTCATTCTAGGGAACCGACGACACATCCGGAAAACATAACGTGTAGTTCGATCATTAATTGAGGTAGGGCGCCCTAAACGATGACGTGACTTCATGTTGTTGTGTTCCTCATAGCGTTTCATTGTTCGATACACAGTAGTACGGCTGATTTGAAGATCACGCGCGATTTGAGCTGGTTTATGACCCAATTTAACAGCTGTAACGATAAAAAACGTGCCTCAACAGATAATTCTCCATTTCGCGGTCTATTTCCGCTAATAACGGTGCCAAAAGCTCTCATTTTGGTGGTGTTATGATTTTTTGAAAGTGATGGGTTGGAAAAATTAAAGTTCTACGGAAAAGTGTACCCAAACTTTTGAACAGGTATGTAGTATTTTTATTAGTCTATTTATAGTAAATACCAAGATATATAATTACTATTTAATATATATTTATCAAATGTTATAAAATCAAAATGATTATACTATATATCTGATTATCTTATTTACATTATATATTATATATTATAATTTTTAGATATTAGGATATTTAAGATGTATAAATATTAATATATTAAGATAGGAAGGAATATAGCTATAACTAGATATACTAAAGTTTACTAAGATTAAATTCCTTATAATATTTATCTTAATTTAGGTGAAAATATTTTGAGTTTTAAATCAAATAATTTAGTTTACTAATTTTAGATTAATCTATAAAAGTTTTTCTAAATAAAGTCTTATACAGAATCATTAGTCTTTTATTATTTATAATATAAGATTATTTTATTTTATTTTAATCTAATATATCTAAAATAATTATATATTCTATTATCATATTATTGAAAAAATAATCAAGATAAAACTTAGATTTTAAAGCCTTGGAAGGTGGTAATATATTTTCCTATCAAAATAAAATCTTCTAAAAGGATAAAATATAAACTAGAAGTAATCTAGATATAAGAGAAATAACAGGGAGTTATAAGAGAGTATTTCACTTTAAGAGAATTTATGTCTTCTTCTAATCTTAAAAAAGATAAGATATAATAAGGATAAGATTATTAATAATAAGACTAGAATTTAATAATATATCTATTTTAAAAGGATTACTTTATTAGGGCTAAATTGAAAGATCTATAATAAGTAGAGGGATTTTAAGAATTTTATATATATTTATATTTTTTACTTTAATTTTCCCTAATATCCTTTACTAAGTTATTATTATACTATCCTAAAAAATAAAAAATAAATTGTTGTTTTTTACTTTTTATGGGTGGTAGGTATTTTCTATTTTATGTATAGATCTGTACTATATATAGGTTAAGTAATATCTATCTATAAGATATTAGATAGTATCTATTAGTTATAATAAAGAACTTCTTATAATAGCCTATAGTAATAATAGAGGCTTATATTTAATAAAAGGTAATTTAGATAGAGATTAACTTAAAGGTATTATAGTTAAACTAAAAGATAATTGTCACACGCTTTGACCCCTCGGGTGTGCTGACCAAGCCTACGTCTTGGTCAGCCACACTTCTTGTCATTCCCACACTAAATTGTCACCACTTCACCTTTTAATCCCATCTCTCAACCAAAATAAACTAAATATGCCTTCCGACCTTGAGACTCGATACCAGCGTGCCCTGGCAACCATATCCGACCAAAAAGAGCCTAATATAAAGGATCTAGCCCGGTCGTTTAACCTTCCATATCGAACGCTGCTCCGCCGGTTCCACGAACGCGGAAATTTCGAAGACAAGCGATCGAGTCAACGTGCACTAAATTTGGTGTAAGAGACTGCTTTAGTCCGATACATTAAGCAACTTGACGATCTATGGGCACCTTGCACGCTCCAAGAGGTCGAGCGTTGCGCTAATTCGATATTAGCGCGGTCGGGTCAACCTCCGGTAAGCAAGATGTGGGCAAGTCGGTTCGTACGACGCCTTCCAGAAGGCTTCTTTTGGATTAAGCAAAAGCCTATCGATAAGAACAGACTTGAATCCGAGGATATATCCCGTTTGATCACCTGGTTTGAGCACGTTGGAGGTTGGTTGGAAGGGATTAGTCCGAAGAATATATACAATTTCGACGAGACGGGGTTCCAATTAGGTCAAACACGGGCTCAAAAGGTCGTTACGCGCTACCGTTATAGCTCTGAGAAGCTTGCCTCAACTGATCGAGGTCAAATTGTCACCTCAATTGAGTGTATTGCCGCGGATGGGTGGTCAATGGTCCCATATCTGATCTTTAAAGGTCAGATATATATGGAAGATTGGTTCCGCGATAACCCTGCGCTCGATCAACGCTATAATATTTAAGTGTCTCCGAACGGGTGGTCGTCCGATCTAATTGCCCTCGAATGGTTACATATCTTCCATGAGAACACTAAAAACCGCGTTGGGACTAATGGCAAACGCGTGCTCTTCTTCGACGGGCATGGATCCCACCTGACCTTCGAATTCCTCGATTTTTGCGACCAAAATCAGATTATTCCAATAAGCTTTCGACCCTATACGTCCTATTTTACACAACCTTTAGACCAAAAGCTATTTTTGAGCCTAAAACAGCATTTCCGGAAGGAAAATTCGCTTATAAACGCGTGGTTCCGGCCTGATTCGGCGAAGCGTCAATTCCTCGAGGATATAACTTTAATTCGAAAGAAGGCAATTACACCACAGATTATTCGAAGCGCGTTTCGAGATACTGGCATATGGCCTTTTAACCCTAATATTATGATCGGACCAATACAAAAAAGATGGGATGAAAGGTATGTAAATGACCCAATTCTTGAGTTATTAGGCCATACACCTGAACCATAGTCTTCGCCTATTATATCCCCACCATAAACAGTTGAAAAGCTTAATCGGATGGGAAATAAACTCGAGAAATATATTACAAAAATATCAGACCAAATGGAAGATCAGACCGAAGAGCTAAATCGATTAAAACGTGATTTTAAGCACTACCAGACAGGTCAATTAATCAACGCGGAGTACACCCACGAGCTTGAAAGCAAATTATTATCAATTCAAGCACGTCAACGTCCAATTCAGACCAAAAGGACTCGAAAGCAGTTATTGAGTCTTACTGCTTTAACTCCTTTGGACGCCAATCGCCGAATTTAGAAGCGTGACGAAGAAGAGAAAAGATTAGACCATATGCGCATGCTCCGGGCCGCTGCGCAAGATTCGGTCTCAACTCCACAAAGATCGGACGAAAACAAAGATCTCGAGGATTTCGAGGGATGGGTCATGGGAGATGATGGAAAACCACTTTATATAGTTGATACAGAAGGGGTGACGCTGGAAAAGCGCAAAAAGTGTAAATAGTTGTCATTTAGTGTGGGAATGACAAAAAGCGTGGCTGACCAAGACGTAGGCTTGGTCAGCACACCCGAGGGGTCAAAGCGTGTGACAATTATAGCCCAATCCTAGAAGAGAAGGTATATATTAATATTATCATTATATCTAAATATTAATAGGGATTTACTTATAAGTCTACTATAATATATATAGTAAATATAATCTATCACTAAATTAGAGTTATTATTATTATTATAGTCTTTTTTTTATTTATCCTTAAATATAAGAGGATTTAGAACTGATTCTTACTATGGTATTTATATATTAACATAAGCTTAATAATAGGTATTAGTGAAAAAGATAGAATAATAAAAGAAGAGTATCTTTATTTTTATTATATTATTATATATGTCAGCAATTCAGGCAGATTGTGTGCCTGGATTCCTGGGATGAAAAGTGGCCCTTTTTGGTCCAAAGGTTATGCTGACTAATTCATCCCGCGATCAAACATTTCCGTTGCGAAATGAATGATATGGTTTTGATCTGATCTATCAGATCAAAGATGATCTTCTCTCGTCCGAGAAGATCCGCAACCCGAGCCCCGTTGTTAGGATCAATGGTTGCAAGATGAGATGAAAGGACTCGATTATTTCGGATTCCGTAGCCCTTTCGTCCCATATCCTGAGACCTTTGGTCTCATGTTTGTTTAGTCTAAAGTTCTATAAAACCTGATCTTACCCCTTAGCTAGTTTAGCATCGAATTCAATCGTTTTTGGATCAGTTGTATCTTTGTTTGATTCTTTCCTTCCATTCCATCCTAAGTTCGGATCCAGCTTGGTCGTATGTCATTCCATCTGATCCGTGTTGTCTGATCTTTTGGTCTTATCTTTACCCTTTCCTCCGAAGGGTTCCCTGTAGCTTGGTGCCCCTGTTCAGCTGACATCCTCTGCGTGACGTCATCACCTTTGGTCCTGTCTTCCCCACGCTGAAAATATATAATATATATTATTCTTACTATAGATAAATTAGATGATATTATTTATATCCTGAATTGAATAAATATTAGAAAATGAAAATGGAAGGTATAGTGGGAAAATAATGAAAGATACTTAAAAGAACTATAAAAAAAGATTATACTTTGATATATTAAGGTAAAGTTAGATCTATATATAACGATAGAAATATAACATGAATTAGAGAAGAGAGAACTTTTATCTTAAATTTAAAATAAAAATGATAAAGGTAAGAATATTTTAAAGAACTTTATATTGTTTTTTTTGTTTTTTACTTAATATATGATTAGAGATAATTTATATTATAAAAGTAATATATAGTCTATTAAGATTTATACTTAAAATTCTTTGATATTATAACTAAGTATTGGATAGTATTATAGTAAGTATTACTAAAATATTACCTTATAGGGAAGGTTCAAATAGAATTTAAGGATTTGAATAAATATTAATTATCAAATTTATATAATATACTAGATAGTTTATAAAGTTTAAGAGTATTATATTCTATTAAAAATAGATTATTTTAATAAAAAAATATAAAAGAAATATTGTAAAGTATAATCTTATATATATAAGGATAATATAATTATTTTTATTCTAATAGATATATATATATAATTACTATTTATCTAAAAGAAATTTTCTAAGGGTATTTAAATTGTTTTATCTATATATATATAAAGTTATTTACTATTATTATATAAGTATATTTGATGCTTATAAATTAAAGATTAAAAACATATAAAACAGATTTACTTGAAGTAAAAAAATATTGATCATTAATGTTATAATTATTATTGTATATGAAAAAGAAAAGGATAAGAAAGAGTATAATAGTAAAAATAAATATAGTTAATATTTGAAATTATAAAATATCTTTTCTTACTATAATTAAATATAAATAACTAGTATATATATACTAAGGAACTATTAAGTATAATATAAATATAAAGAATAGTAATTAAAGTAAAATAATTCTTTTATTTCTATATCTTTGATAAATCTATTAGTAGAATTAAATCTTATAACTATATAATAATAAACTAAATAAAATAGATTCAAAATTTAAGAGAGCACAATAGTAGTATTTTAAGACTTTAATTTAAATAAAGAAATAGTATTAGCTAGGTACATTTATTAATCCTATATAATTATTTTATTAATATTCTTAACTATACTAATATAGATTTATATAGTATATATTTTAGTAGCTTATAATATCTAAATTGATATATTTTTTTCTTTTATCTGCTAATCTCTCTAGTCTTAATAACCTTACTAGGCTAAAATTAAAGAAATATTAACTAAATTTTAGTTAAATTTTACTAAATCCAAAAATATTAAGTAGGAAAAATTATTTTAATATAGTCTGTAAAGGGCTTTATTAAAACTAAAGCAGAATGATATAGGCTAAATATATAGTTTATATTTATACTTAGAGAAGAGGAAGCTATATATATAATTAGAGAGTCATATATCTTTCTGTAGGTTATGTACTAGGCTATATAGTCTTAATTATATATATAGGGATATCTATAGGGGTTTATTAGAAGAACTTGATAAATCTTTATTTTTATTATTTATTAAGTATTAATTTGTAACGGGTTGAACCCGACGAGGGCTTGTCAATCCTCGACGAAGCCCAAAGCCACGATCACGTACGGTCACGTTCGACGACAGACCACGGACGTCTCCGCTTACAGCCCCACACGTGATCCGCGGAAAGACATATATGCCCCATCATGTACTATAGCTTCCTCTTCCTTAAGCATGAATGTAAACTGCATGTCGGCCTATATCGTTCTGCTTCAGTCTTTATAGAGCCCATCACATAATTGTATAGGATAGGTAGCTTAGGCTTATTAAGGCTTAATAAGTTCTTATTGGGTTTAATCTGTTATATAGTCTAGATAATTTGGGATCCTTAATATTTAATTAAATCTAGGAAAACTAATTTAGGTCTAAGTAATACTAGATTTAAACTAAAGAATATAAGTATTATAGTTTTTTTGCAATAAATACAATATTTTTTTAAATATCTTTTAATAATTTATTTTTCATACTAAGGCTTTTTAATAGAATTATAAAGTTTTAAGTTAGAATTTGAAATATTCTAGTATTAACTATATTTTATTATGAATAAAAATATATAATTATTAGCTAAATAGGTATTTGTAGTATTAAGAGATATTTAAGACTTAGAGTAATAAATTTAGATTTCTTTGATATAGTTAATTTTTATATTATATTTTATCTAAATTATGATAGAATATAAAATCTAGAATAATTTTAATAGTATAAAATAATATATATTTCAATTTAAGATATGAATTTTGGAATTCTTATTAAATAAGTAATAGTAAAATATATTTAATTTAATTTATAGTATTCTCTTTTATAATTCTATTAACTTATTTTAAGAATTAATATTTCTTTAGATCTTATCTATATTAGTAACCTTTAAAGAATAGATAGATCGATCTTTATATAGTAAAAAAGATTCGAATAATATATATAGTATCTATAATAGTTAAAATACTTATCTAAAATAAGTTTATATATTATAAATATTCTATTATATAATTATATAGTAAAATATACTTCCTACTTAAGAGATTTAAGAAATATAGTATTGATTCCTTATTATTTATCTAAGATATATCTACTTATCCCATTATTTTAATATTTAATATATATCTAATAAATATAATAGTTAAGATACTATTAATGTTTATTCTTAAATAGGATAAATCTTTTTTTATTTAGTAGGTCTTTTTGGTTAAGTTGTAGATCTCTATTATATTAAGATTAAGTCTTATTTATATTACTTTAAATTAAATCTTTATGATTATATAGCTTTATTATCCTATAAGACTATTAGATCTATAAATTATATAGAAAGCTTAAGCTAAAAAGAATGTCCTAGGATATTTAGATTTTTATAATAGATAATATAATTTTATATATATAATAATATAATAAAGATTTTATATAGATAAT